GTAGGGTAGACTGGAATTCATAGCATGTGCATGTTGCCCATAGAGGAGCAAATGAGTAAGCCAAGGTGAAGCCACTGCCTCTCAGGTGGGAAATTCAGGTTCATTCAGTGAACAGCAATGGTCCTGTACGCATAATCTTAAAATAGAAGGACCAATTTCCCAATAGGGAACCATCTAGACCCAATGTAAGTAAGTGACCATAAAGACATCATGGTAGTCAAAGTAGTCAAGGCACATATACAGTATTCCAAAGAGGAGGCTCTTCATAGGTACCTTAGAAACAAACTCAGTTCACATCAATCCAGCCTTTATATAGGGCTTTTTTTCCCATTGTTTCTGAAAAACAACCTCATCCAACAACATAATATGCCACAAATACAAAAAAACAAAACAACAAAATTTATGTCAGTTGTAGACATGAGATCTGTCATCCACTTCAGGCCTTATCTGCTTTTCCTAATGACCATCATCTCATGTTTATGAGTTTTAGGGTTCTTGGGTTGGTAAAGGATATGTAAACCCAACATTTAGTATTCCTGATATGTGCCCGCTGTACCATGAACTTGTGTGAAAAAGTATCCTGCTCTCTATGTATTGCTTCTTTTGTGTGAAATCCCTGGTGTTTCCTGGAAGCCCCTCTGCTTTCCTATCTAAAACTGACCATGCTAGTCATGAGATCACAGCATGGTCAGCTCTCTAGCTGTAATGGGAACTCAGTGTGCTCTCCTCCAATGACCAGACTTCTGCTGACACGTCTTCCTGTGCAGCCAGCCAGTCACTGGGAAGACCAGTGTTCTGCTGTTTTTCCTTTCATCTCTCCATGCATCTGAGAACAGAGGGTATGTGGTCACTTAGGGAAAAAAGTTTTTTTTATATCTATTCACAGATGTTGTACCTTGTATTGCTATTTTGAACTGTGTGGGTTGTTTTACAAGGTGAAGGTTTACATATACTTTAACCACTTTCAGGCCGCCCACCTGCAATGTACTGTGGACAGGCAGCAGCTACAGGACCAGCGATGTATCCATACGTAGCTGGTCCTTTGCCAACACAGGAGGGCAGCGCACAACCCTTCCCCTCCACGTCCGCTGTGTCCGCTGGAATGAAAATCCCAGTAGTCGGGACTCATTGATCATGTGATAGCTATGCAATCACATGATCACAATGACGACAAAGCTTTTATGAATCAATCTAATTCATACAAGCTTTCATTATGTTCCTGGAGAGCTGTGATTGGTCCACAGCTCTCACATGACACATTGGGCCAATCATGGCACCCCGAACCATGTGACCAGCTGGAGCTAATAACAGATCACTATTATTTTGAACTGTCATGAACCTAACACATTCATGACAGTTCAAACCAAGCTTTGCATTGCAAAGCAATACTTTTCATTGTGTCTGCAATGCAAAGTGTAAAAAAAAATCCATGATCACCCCCCAAGAGCAGTACAATTTTAGTATGATAACATTGCACACTCTGATGAAAGTATTTTTAAAAAAAATAGTAAAAAAAAGAAAAATGTTTACAAAAAAAAGTTTAAAAAAATTGAGAGAATTTCTTTTCTTATTTTATTTTTTTAACTACTTGCCGGCCGCCTGCCAACAATGTTACATCACTTTTTGTTTCCCAGTGTATGTGCGCATGCATGAGCCCCCCCCCCCTCCCCACATCCCCCTATGCTGTCCAGCGAGGGAAGAATGAATACAGTACTGAGTAAGAGCACTACATTTTACACACATGTTAGATTAGCACATTTAACTCTTTGATCACCCCACCACCCAGCCAGTGCCATTAGTACAGTGTCAGTGTAAGGAATTTTTTACCTGATCACTTTATTACTGCCACTAGCAACATCAGCTAGCGTCAGGGTCAGTTAGCACCCCTCCCAGCCAGGGTCAGCTAGCGTTCGATTGTGTTAGCAGGATCAGTATCAGTCGCTGCCAGCACTAGCGTTCAGCCCCTCCACTGTTTTTCACAGAAGATTTGTATCAATTGATTGTGGGCCAAAGCAATTTATATGCACAATACATTGCTGTCCCCCCAAAGTCAGCTCTTGCCAGACAATTCACGTGGAAACCTATCAAGGTTCCAGAATTTAAAACGTTTTTGGGCCTAACCCTAAACACGAGCATTACAAAAATGAATTGCTGTCATATTAGTCCATAGACCCGATTTATCATATGCTCATGTTCTCTGCCATTACATATATGCCCAACATGGACCAGCAAGGTACTGGTACGTTGCTGGACTTTGAGTGGTTATACCGGGAAGACGGGAAGATACCTTCAACTGCAGGCATCATGCTGGTATCTTTTTTTAGTTGGCGGCCGGCTTTCATGTAAAAACAATCCTAGCCACTAATTAGCTGCTGGATTGCTTTTACAAGTAGCGGTAAGGGACTCCCCCACCCCTCCTGCCGCCTTTCAAGGTTTTTTTGGGCTCTCCTGTCCCACAGTTCCACTGGCTAACAATAGAGCTGATCAGAGACTAGAATGCCTCCAATTATCTCTATGGTCTAAGAGACCGGAAGCTAGGAGCATTTCATAATTTTAGTTTCGCCAGATATAAACAGCGCCATTTTAAAATTGGGAAGGCATCTGATCACACCAATTTTGGTGTGATCAGATGCTCTAAGGGCAGAGGAGAGATCTAGAGTCTAATAGACCCCAGGTTTCTCATAAAATAATACCTGTCACTGCCTATTGCGATCACAGGGGATATTTACATTCCCTGTGATAATAATAAAAGGGACAAAAATAAATGAAAGGGACAATGTAAAAATAATAAAAATGCAAAATAAATAATAAAAAAAACTTTTACAACTTTGTGTAAAATAAAAGTAAATTTCCAAAAATTTGTGGCAAAAAATAAAATGTTCTGTGGACTCAACATACCTCTCAGCAAATTCTTTAGGGTGTCTAAATTCCAAACAAATGTAATTTGGGGGATCTTTGTACTGCCCTGGCATTTTAGTACCCCAAGAAATGTGATAGAAAATAAAAGCTGTGTATATAGTTATATAGTTAGTCTGGTTGAAAAAAGACAAAAGTCCATCCAGTTCAACCATTAAATAAAAAAAAAAAGTTATAATCCTATACCCATAGTTGATCCAGAGGAAGGCAAAAAAACACAGCAAAACATGATCCAATTTGCACCTGCAGGGTCAAAAATTCCTTCCTGATCCCCTGAGAGGTGATCGGATATTCCCCTGATCAACTTTACCTATAAATGTAAGTAACCAATTATATTCCAATATATACAGTATATACCATAGTTTGTAGGTGCTATAACTTTCACACAAATCAATTAATATACATGTATTGGGATTCTTTTTTACCAAAGACATGTAGCAGAATACATTTTGGCCAAAATTTATGAATAACTTTGAGTTTTCTGTATATTTTTTATAACCTAAAGTAACAAATGTCATTTTTTTTTCAGATTTTTCGGTCTTTTTTCATTTATATCACATAATCACATAAAATAAAAAAACTCATTGGTGATCAAATACCATCAAAAGAAAGCTCTATTTGTGTCAAAAAAGGACATAAAATTTGTTTGGGTACAGCATTGCATGACCGCACAATTACCAGTTGAAATAGTGCAGCACCAAATAGCAAAACAATGGCCTGGTTATTAAAGCGGAGTTCCAGTTGATTTAAAAAAAATAAATAAAAGTCAGCAGCTACAAAAACTGTAGCTGCTGACTTTTAAAATACAGACACTTACCTGTCCCTTGGTCCAGGTTTCACCAGCCATCTTCTTTCCCCAGCTCCGGCATCTTCAGCGTGGGCACCCAGCTGTGACAGCTTACAGCTTCACAGCCGGGTGCCCACTGCGCATGCGCGAGTAGCACTGTGCTTTGAGAATGGTCCCATAGTCTTCTGGGACCTGTCACGTGCCCTAGAAGACTACGGGGAGGGAGGACAACTTCCATGTCCGATCACCTTAGGCGATCTCAGCGGAAGTGGGAGCAGGTACCTGTTAAATTTGGGTACCCCCCTCCCTGCTCCCCATAGTTGCCAATCCTTAACGGGGAGCAGAGGACAAGGGCTTAAAGCAGAATGTCCCCTTTTGGCTGGAGCTCTGCTTTAAGGGGGGTAAATCTTCCAAAGGGCAAGTGGTTAAATAATATAATTCCCTCTGATTATCAATCATCTAAGTAGCATTTGCCTTACAATAATTTGCAATTTTTTATTTATTTTATTTATTTCAGGAACTTGTATAGCGCTTTCAATTTACGTAGCGCTTTACATATATGTATTGTACATTCACATCAGTCCCTAACCCTCAAGGGGTGTACAATCTAAGGTCCCTAACTCACATTCATACATACACATACTAGGGCCAATTTAGACAGGATCCAATTCACCTACCAGCATGTTTTGGAGTGTGGGAGGAAACCAGAGTACCCGGAGGAAACCCACGCAGACACAGGGAGAACATGCAAACTCCAGGCAGGTGGTGCCATGGCTGGGATGCGAACCAACGATCCTAGTATTGCCAGGCGGAAGTGCTAACCATTTAGCCACTGTGCTGCGCAAATATAAAAGTAAATGTATACTGTATTTTTCGCTCCATAAGACGCACTTTTTCCCCCAAAAAAGGGGGCTAAATTTTATGGAGCGAATATGGAGCGGCTGGTCCGGTATTTCCGCCGCCGCCACCGTGTCAGAAAACCGGGCTGGCCGCTCAGCTCTTTTCTGCAGGAGGACCTCACCTGTTCCTCGATCCAGCGCTGTGCAGTCTTCCCCGCGCCTGCATCGCTCAGCCGGGTGCCCACTGCGCATGCGCGAGAATCGCTGCACTTTGTGAATGGTCCGGTGTGTTCTGGGACACGTGACAGGTCCCAGAAGACGCCGGGCCATTCACAAAGCGCAGCGCTTCTTGCGCATGCGCAGTGGGCACCCGGGACAGCTAAAGGGAGGACAACTCTACGAAAGTGGGAGCGGGTGCCTGTCAAATTCAGGTACCCGCTCCCACTCCCTCCCCAAAGGTCCGCAGTCTCTGGTCATCCCCTGTACTGTCTGCAGTCTCTGGTCATCCCCTGTATTGTCTGCAGCCTCTAGTCATCTGCACTGTCTGCAGTCTCTGGTCATCTGTACTGTCTGCAGTCTCTGGTCATCCCCTTTACTGTCTGCAGTCTCTAGTCATCTGTACTGTGTCTGCAGTCTCTGGTCATCTGTACTGTCTGCAGTCTCTGGTCATCCCCTGTACTGTATACAGTCTCTGGTCATCCCCTGTACTGTCTGCAGTCTCTGGTCATCTGTACTGTCTGTTCGCAGTACTGTCTGGTCTCTGTACTGTCCGCAGTCTCTGGTCATCCCCTGTACTGTGTTCGCAGTCTCTGGTCATCTCCTGTACTGTGTTCGCAGTCTCTGGTCATCTCCTGTACTGTGTCCGCAGTCTCTGGTCATCTCCTGTACTGTGTCCGCAGTCTCTGGTCATCTCTGTACTGTGTCCGCAGTCTCTGGTCATCTCCTGTACTGTGTCCGCAGTCTCTGGTCGTCTCCTGTACTGTGTCCACAGTCTCTGGTCATCTCCTGTACTGTGTCCGCAGTCTCTGGTCATCTCCTGTACTATGTCCGCAGTCTCTGGTCATCTCCTGTACTATGTCCGCAGTCTCTGGTCATCTCCTGCAGTACATCCGCAGTCTCTGGTCATTTCCTGTACTATGTCTGCAGTCCATTGGTTCAGAATATTTTTTTTCCTGTTTTTCTCCTTTAAAACCTAGGTGCGTGTTAGGTCAGGTGCGTCTTATGGAGCGAAAAATACGGTATATCTTTCTAATCTTACAGAGATTTGAACGGTCAGTGGAGGATGCAGAAGGCTCTGGACAGACTGTGGATGACACTCCACTCACTGAAAACAGGGCAGGTAAGTGATCTTTCAACAGAGGCACACTGTCAGGGAGCGAGGAGCCAGACACACAAGGAGGTGCAATTAAAGGTAGGTTTATTAATATAAAAATAAGACAAGAGTCTATGCAAGTCCAACAGCGGAAATCGTAGCCAAAGCCGGGGTCAAGAGCCAGGAAGAATGGTCGCCAGAGCCGGGATCAGGAGCCATGAAGAATGGGGTCGCCAGAGCTGGGATCAGGAGCCAGGAAGAATCATCGCCAGAGCCGGGATCAGGAGCCAGGAAGAATGGTCGCCAGAGCCGGGATCAGGAGCCAGGAAGAATGGTCGCCAGAGCCGGGATCAGGAGCCAGGAAGAATGGTCGCCAGAGCCGGGATCAGGAGCCAGGAAGAATCATCACCAGAGCCGGGATCAGGAGCCAGGAAGAATGGTCGCCAGAGCCGGGATCAGGAGCCAGGAAGAATGGTCGCCAGAGCCGGGGTCAGAAGCCAGGAGGAGTCTTAGCCAAAGCCGAGTCGGTATCCAGGAAAGCAATGAGGAGCTAAACAGGAGCTTGCTGCTGTGCAACAGACAGGACACGAATGCAATGAACAGCTACAAACAGCAGACTTAAATGTGATAAGCCGCACCTCCTAGGGGAGGAGCCGCAGAGGGCTGAAAGCATAAAGGATCCCACAATGCTTTGCAGACACCTAAGATGGATGCCAGCACATGGAGCAGCACAAGGCCTGAGGAAAGGTAGGACCCCTTCCCCTCCGCCCTATAACAGAAATATTGCTACAGGGCGGCAGGCCTGCAGAAATCATGTGTGTATATATATATATATATATATGTGATTTGCATTTCCGGGTAGGGGGAACACGCGTGCGCCACCCTATCCATTCCACCATTGGCAGCTACAGATGTTGATCACCAGGGTCCCGGCTGGAGATTCCCCGCCAGCACCTGGCAAGCACAGAGAAACAGTGACATGGGACAGATCTGTGTGTAAACAACACAGGTCTCTCTCCTACCAGCAATAACATGCTGCTGTGTATTTCTCTGCACAGCAGAGAAATACACAGCAGCATATTTCCCTAGTAAAAACACACACAGCACACACAGTAAAACAGCACACAGTTAACCCTTTGATCGCCCCAAATGTTAACTCCTTCCTGCCCAGTGTCATTAGTACAGTGTCAGTGCTTTTTTATTAGCACTGATCACTGTATTAGTGTCATTGGGATGTCAGTGGCAGTTAGTCAGTTTCCCATCCAGTGTCAGATCAGAATGCTCGTTGCAGTCCCACAGTCCTGCTATAAGTTGCAAATTGCCGCCATTACTAGTATAAAAATAAAAAAAAGAATTCTAGTATATATACCACCATTTATAGACGCTATAACTTACACGTAAACCAATTAATTTACATGTATTGGATTTTTTTTTAGCAAAGACATCTAGCAGAATACATTTTTGGCAAAATTTATGATGAAATTAGATTTTTTTTACTGGATATGTTTTATAGCAAAAAGTCAAAAATATTGTTTTCTATTCAAAATTGTTGGTCTTTTTTTGTTTATAGAGCAAAAAATAAAAAATGCACAGGTGATCAAATACCACCGAAAGAAATCTCTATTAAATTTAATTTAATTACAGTGTTGCATGACCACGCAATTGTCAGTTAAAATAACGCAACGCCGTATCGAAAAAAATGGCCTGGTCAGGAAGGGGGGGGTTAAATCCCCTGCAGGGCAAGTGTTTAATTCTTATAGTCAGCCGGGTCATACCTGGTCATAGCATGACCACAAACCAATGTCTGGCTTATGTTCGGTCACTGGAGAGGCTGTGCAAACCTGTGGTCATACTTAAGCTGACCCTATTCACAAAGCTGGGATAAGGGGTAGGCAAGAGGGGCAGCCTCCCAGGGTACAGGGGTGCCCCCTCGCCACACACAAGCTCCAGTTTAGCGGCTGCTGCGGCACCCGTGGCGCCCAGAGGTATGACTGGTTCAGCCCCTCTTCCACAGCGCTTTGGGGGTGAGCCGAGTCAGTGTCGTGGGTTCCTCAACCAGGTGGGGATTTACTTTGAATTAATACCCCACGCTTTTCCGACTGAGAGGTCAAAGGTGGGTTTCCTAATATCGCTACTCTCAGACAAGGCCTTGGCCTGGGCGAATCCCTTATGGGAGAGGAATGACCCAGTGATTCACGAGTTTTCGGGTTTTGTCGATGCCTTCCGTAGGATATTCGACGTACCGTCTCGCTCCGCCTCGGCTGCCAAGCTGCTCATGTCTATGCATCTGGTGGCTGCGTTTTCTCAGGGTCTTTCTGATGCATCAGGGTTCACGGACCGTTGCCGAGTACGCCATATAGTTTCGTACCCTGGCAGCAGAGGTGGGTTGGAACAATGAGGCTCTGGTGGCTGCGTTTTCTCAGGGTCTTTCTGATGCATTGAAGGATGAGATGAGGGTTGTTTATGGACAGCTCGTTTGCTGCCCAGCACTCCATTCCCCTGCAGGCTCGAGTTACCCCATTGGTTCTCGAGGCGATAGATGGCAGGCCCCTGCAACCACCGCAGGTTACCCACGAGACTATGCCAGTTGAAGTAGCTATTGGGGCTGTTCACAGGGAGTTGGCCTGTTTCCAGGTGATTTCTTCCCCTCACTATTCGGTGGTTTTGGGGTATCCCTGGCTCCAGATGCACAATCCAACCTTCAATTGGCAAACAGCCGAGATTCTCTCGTGGTCTCCACAGTGTGGGGCCGGGTGCATCTGTGGGCCGGTTAAGGTGTTGTGTGCCTCCTCGGACTCTGCATTGCCCACCGACTATGGGGAGTAACAGGACGTGTTTGATAAGGTACGCGCTGGTGCCTTACCTGCTCATCGTCCTTACGACTGCGCCATATCCTTGCAACCCGGTACCACTCCTCCGCGTGGCAGGGTGTATCCTCTCTCGGTTGCGGAGAATAAGGCCATGGAGGAGTACGTTGCGGATGCGCTTTCCTGGGGGCACATTCGTAAGTCTACTTCCCAGCAGGAGCGGGCTTTTTCTTTGTTAAGAAGAAGGGTGGTGAATTGAGGCCTTGCATCGATTATAGGGGTCTTAATCGAATCACCACTAAGAATGCCTACCCGATTCCCTTGATTACTGAGTTGTTCGACCGCCTTAAGGGGGCAACAGTCTTTACCAAACTTGACCTTAAGGCGGCGTACAACCTCGTACGGATCAAACAGGGGGATGAGTGGAAGACCGCGTTTAACACCAGAACCGGTCACTACGAATACCTGGTGATGCCTTTCGGGTTGTGTAACGCGCCCGCAGTTTTTCAGGAATTCATAAATGATGTCCTGCGTGACTTGTTGCAGCAGTGCGTTGTGGTTTACCTGGATGACATCCTGGTTTACTCTGCCTCCATGGAGTCCCATATCCAGGATGTCAAGCAGGTGCTGCAACGATTACGTGAGAACTAACTTTTTTGTAAACTTGAGAAGTGCGAATTCCATCGATCCCAAGTTGCCTTTTTAGGCTACATCATTTCTGCGGAGGGATTCTCCATGGACCCTCAGAAGGTTTCGGCGGTTCTGCAGTGGCCTCGTCCCAATGGTCTTCGGCCCATTCAGTGCTTTTTGGGTTTTGCCAACTACTATCGGAAGTTCATCAGGAACTTCTCCACGCTGGCAAAGCCTCTCTCAGACCTAACCAAAAAGGGCAGTAATCCTCACGAGTGGCCATCCGAGGCCATCGTAGCTTCCGAGGCTCTGAAATCCGCCTTCGCTTCGGCTCCGATACTGTCTCATCCCAATCCTGGATTGCCCTTCGTCCTTGAGGTTGATGCATCCGAGACGGGAGTAGGCGCTCTCCTGTCTCAACGTCGGTCGCCCGATGGACCCCTACTTCCCTGTGGGTTCTACTCCAGGAAGCTTTCCTCTGCAGAGTGCAACTACCAGATTGGAGATAGGGAGTTGTTGGCAATCATTCTGGCTCTCAAGGAATGGAGGCACCTGCTCGAGGGCTCCGCGGTTCCAGTCCTCATTCTTACCGATCATAAGAACCTGACTTATCTTTCGGAGGCCAAAAGATTGACACCCCGTCAGGCCAGATGGGCCTTGTTCTTGTCGCGGTTCAACTATGTAGTCTCCTATTTGCCGGGTTCCAAGAATGTCAGGGCTGATGCATTATCGCGGCAATACTCTGAGTTGTCCAGGGAGGACTCTGAGCCAACCGCGGTCATACCTCCGGATCAGATCCTGGCTGCCATTCGCACCAGTCTGACTTCTCCCCTTGGGGAGCAGATTTTGGCGGCTCAAACTGACGCTCCTCCCGAGAGACCGGAGGGTAGATGTTTTGTACCCGAGGGGTTGCGCACCCGTCTGCTGCGTACCTACCATAACTCCAAAACTGCCGGGCATCCGGGGAGGAACCAGTTGTCTTGGGTCATCTCTCGGTTATTCTGGTGGCCAACTCTCCGTGCCGACATCGCCTCTTATATAGCGGCATGTTCGATCTGTGCCCAGAATAAATCTCCACGGCATCTTCCAATGGGTCTTCTGCAACCCATTCCCAATGGGGAGTGTCCTTGGTCACACCTAGGCATGGACTTTATTGTAGACCTCCCTGTGTCTCGGGGTCATACGGTCATCCTCATGGTCGTCGATCGTTTTTCCAAAATGTGCCATTGTATTCCACTCAGGAAATTACCAACAGCGCAAGAAACTTTTCCAGGGAGATTTTTCGCCTGCATGGGTTGCCCAAGGTGATTGTCTCGGACCGCGGGAGTCAGTTCGT